TGAAAGGCGATGACCATGTAACACAGGTGAAGGAGATGGGTCTGGTTGGTGTGCTCGTTGTTGTTTTAACAATGAAAATAATTGATGACCGAAAACTACATTTCAATCGTTCCAACCTAATAGAACAAATTGTTCAAGATACCTCCACGCAATACTCGTCGCCTGAGTAGTTATTCGGCTCATTCCATCTCCAGTTTGTATAGCTGAACGGTGCTCCGTCCACCCAAAACCAGTCATCCACCATCCAGTCATATTTTCCTCCGATCCATGTCATAGCGTCATACCAGTTCCCTGGTATGTCTTTGACTAGGTCTGCAAGTAAACATTTTTCTGCTCGCTTAATTGAAAATGAGTGGTATCGAAGAAAGTGGTCAACCTTCATGTGAATCGTCCTGCGTTATTAGTTGTGATGTGACCAGTGTGATTATATTCCTTCACGCTGAACCCCTAATAAGTATTGAGCTTTCCCAAAACACAATGTCATGAGAAAGCAGATAGGTTGTATGTAGCTTACGCCACTAACGTTTTAGAAATCTAGTTACTTATTTTTATATTTCTATTTCATATTCAATCGAAAACACTTTCTCATTTTTCAACTTTGGGCTGACCCTGATACCGAGCCCACACCGCCGTCATGCGCTACCGTTTAACAGAGCCCAGAGTGGGCAACGAACTATGCAGACCTCCACCGATCAAGACTTGGACGACTTCTATCAACTCTGCGCCCAAACTTTCTGTTTTGATAAAGGATCTCATCTGAGGCATCTCCAAAACATCCTGTTATTAGTTTTTCAGCAACATTAAATAATATTCCTTGAGTTGTCCAGTCTCACCGACTCCCACATATGACGCGCGCAGTGGCGTGCGGACTAAACTGGTACATAAAACGCTATGTCTGTCGGTTTCAGTGTGTCACGAAATTCATAGCACGCGTCGCAACAGTCGTCAGGAGCTGAGTTCGGGATTTGGCTGATGGTGGGACGCGTAACTCCATATCTCGGAGTCTGATTAGGCGGGGCTGCGGACTTGGCGTGTAGCCAGCCGCACTTGACAGTCGTCGCGCCGTATCTCCAGCTGATTTTGCTGACGCTGGTATTTACCGAGAAATGCAGCAGTATTTTACTACCTTCTGGTATTTTTCTAATACTATTCAACGACTGCGGGCATCCCGCGTCCCGAAAAGGTGAGTCAGTTTGAGAAAAATGGATGCTGTATTCCACGAATATTGCATGGATTTTTCTATAAAAGTAAAAACCATTGTCCAGTTTCTGCTTATTCTATTTATTTTCTTTTTATTTCTCCATTGACATTTTTCTATTCGACTTGTTCTTCAACACAGCTTCTTCTATGTGTTCTAATTGTTGTGCAGAACACAATTTGAAGCTGTTTTGAAGCAACCAGTCGTTTTTGCGCATGCTTTTTCCAGGTCATGATGGGTTCCGGCTTCCGCAGTCCTTGCCTAAGGTAATCGCTCTAGTGTTGTGGTGCTTTTGTTGTTCCGTTGTGTTTCGTTGATCAGATTACAATTGTAACGGGTGCTTTTCAAAAATGGCGATTGTGTTACTAATCTACACGTTTCTATTATGAGCTTCCTTTCGAAGTTGTGCTGCTGTGATGTTCTGTTGCACCCGTTTGTGATTGCGGTCGTGCTTTTGTTACTAACTGCTTATTATGCTGATTCCTATCTTTCTTACTTGACTATTTACTAACTCTATTTTTAGTGGCTGATTATCGATAAACTATGTTCGGCGATCAATGTTTATAACATGTGAGTGTTAATTAAACAGATTAACGAAACAAACATTCAACGGTACAAAATGGGGTTAGTAACGGAATCACAATATGTTAAAACCCGTGTTGGTGTCCCACTTTACACCATGAACCCGCGTTAGTGAGATGGCAGTTCCCCGTGTTAGTATGTATTAGGTTGTCCCGAAATGAATGCCGGTTTTTGACCTCCGTCTTCAAAGCAACATATCTCAGCTCAAACTCAACATTTTCAGTAATTCAAAAAAGTGTTGGAAACTACTCATTTTTCTTAACAGGAAGCGTACTGGTTTAATTAACGAACTTGAGATACAGGAACAATAGAAGCTCAAATATCGGCCAAGGTCTTTTCCATCATGTCTCGGTTTTCAAATCTTTTTCTCCCCAAGAAGCTGTCGAGATTGCCGGAAAACAGGAGGTTGGTGAGGGTGAGATCCTGCGAATGCACTGTAAGAAGCAAAGCTGGATAGGTTGATTTATCCCTTTCTTACGAAGACCTTTGTGCGACATGTGGCTGGGCGTCAACATGGAGAACAGTTCTTTTCCTTCTTCTGGTTAGAGGCCTTGCTCTTTACGGAGCATTATATCGATGTTATGGACAGACATTGATGCTCTACCAAAATCACCTGGGTTCAGAAAGCTGCGATGCATCATTACTCCGGAAGGCCACGAAACCATCAGCATGGTCCTCACCTTGTAGAAATTCTACTTTGGAAAAAGTTTTTGATGTTCGTAGTTGTTTAGATTTTTGGAAAATTGCTCTATTCTATAGCGAAGGGTCCTATTTCCGTCGAGGATGACGAAAAGTTCCAGAGTCGGACATTTTTGTTGAGTAAAAAAAGTTGTGCCAAGATCCCTGCAAGGTGACTTTGCTGCTGCTCAGTCAGTTCATGCGGTACCCACTTGTCCAGCTTTCTTACCTTCCCAAGTACCTTCAGGCGCTCCGAAAATTTCAGTATGCTTGCTCAAGGTTATGCTGCTGGCTGCCGTACACTTGTTTGGAAATCTTCTTCTGCCGGGTCTTCAGAAGGCCGCCGTCAAGAGGAGAATGTCGTCCGTAACCCCCCTCACTTCGAATCTAGATTTCCCTAACTTGAAAGCTTCGGAGCCATCGAAGCAGTGTGCTTTTATTGCAACATCCTTAGCCCCACACAGCAATCCTATTCCGAGCTGTCCGCACAGCACCCTCTCCAAATTTCAACTCATAGAAGTGAACCTGCTCAAACCACTACTTTGACGCCTTCACTTCAAACCTTTAAAAAAAAGTGAGGCCCGAGTCCCATCAAAATACAATGGCCGTGCAAGAAAGAGAATGAAATGGGCTTTCCAACGATATGCAATAGTACAGCAATCGTATGGAAATTTCTCGGAAAAATATCAAATAAAGTATGAGACATTGAAACCGGCATTAATTTCGGGACAACCTAATAAATCCGAGACCCCTAAGTAGCCTCCACAGTGTTATTGGTGACAATGTGAAATCTGGGTAGGCTGCTATCATTTCCTGCGCAACTCCAGGACCTCACATTCTTTTTCTCCTTCAACATGAACCAGTCGCCTTATGCGTTCACCCCATTCTGCACCAAGGTTATTCATGGCGGTCATAACAACTGCTTTCCGAGAATACTTGCTAGACACTCTCGTACTCACAGGACGGACCGGTGGCTTGCTAACCCTCGTGACAGTAGCTCACTCACGCCGCACGCCGTGGCAGTTATCGCTGTGACTGAAACGAAAACGGTTCCACGGTCCCGAGATGTTCTTTAAGCCTGCTGCGAAGAACTGCTTCACATGGGCTATGACGGCTTTCGCCTCTGGGGCGAACACGCGGCGCCCTTCAAAGTTTCCCTGCTCCACACTCACTAGCATTTCGAACGAAATAGCTCGCAATGCTGTGCAGAGACAGTTACCGCGTCGAACAAACTGCTCTGCGACTGGTGGCGCAACGTCAAACTCCTAAAGCAAACTTTTCTTCAGATATGTTCGATACCATGCTTATGACAGTTTCAAGTGCACTAACCCCCATATGTGTACGTGGTGCCACTTCCCTTGCTTGCGTCAACAAGAGCGAGTGGCTACGCGAGTGGCTACCGGTCTGTAAGTAATTTTTCTTAACCGCGTGCCAAAAGTAATTTGTGAATAACGATCCTCAAGCTTACAGAATACTTGCTCCGATAATTTTGAAACGGTCGAAGTGAGGCTTTAGTCAAAGCTAAATGTATTGAACTGTTATTGAGGGATAAGTTGGCCTTTTCTTCAAGCAGTACATGGCATTCGTGATTGCAATTTACACATCTCCACTGAACATTAATCGCCGAACATAGTTTATCGATAACCACCACTAAAAATACAGTGCGTACCAAAAGTATGTGGACACCCTAGAATCGATTCTCAGGAGTCAGCTAAAGGCTTTTTGTGTTATGAAACCTTCACCATTCAACTCCTAGTGGTCGATAACCTACAATGACATTTCGGCAAAAGATTTCGTTCTAACTTAGCGAACTATTTTTCATGGAAAGTTTTTTCTTTGTATCAAAATTATGTGGACACCCTGAGGCAGATGAAGTTTTTGCATCGATTTCCTAACCTATTTTTACTTCTCCTTTCGTTACTTATTCTGGCATCATTCCTCTTCACGGCAAGCGTTTTTCTGAAGAAGACCGAGCACAGAAATGGGATCCCCATGCTTCTGAACCTTCCTATTGCGAAATAGCACGTCAACCAGTCATGCGTCCTCGTAGGTTTGGAGAGAAATCCGAAATCCTGATGCTAAGCTCTCGACCTTGACTGAGGGTTGTTCTCAATCGCTACTTGTTCAAAACAGGAGAAGAATAGCCTTAATTTTCTCAAATTATTCTTTTCGTACTACTCAACTTCCGATCTTAAAAAAGACCAATCGGTGTCTCATTCAATCAATTGAGCACACGACACGAAAGAAGATGAAGAAGGCTTTGTATATGAATGCGGGTTCAGGTTGGCAAGGTTGGAATTCCCACTCAAAAAAGGATCACAACATGATACTTTGAACCCACACAGACAGTGCTTTCGTGGAAATGGTAAAATTAGTATAAAAGACTTTCTGTGGAAATTTCTTTCATAGACCAACTCGACTGGCAGAAAGAAGCTTATTCCTTACTATTCGGGTGGGTCTTGAGGTTTTTGGAGAGACTTTGGTCGGACCCGCAGATGTGCTCGAAGAGACAATTCGGAACATGTCGGTCAAAATTTGCTGGTTGGGAACAGATCTGCAAGACATGTATCCAGACCCGGTTCATAGCATGCCAAACAGAATGGCTCAACTTACTAGAAACTTTGGTAGGCCTACCGATTTCAGATTCTGAAGATATTGCCGTTTTTCAAAAAGTGTCCACATAATTTTGATACAAAGAAAAAACTTTCCATGAAAAATAGTTCGCTAAGTTAGAACGAAATCTTTTGCCGAAAATATCATTGTAGGTTATCGACCACTAGGAGTTGAATGGTGAAGGTTTCATGACATAAAAGCCTTTAGCTGACCCCTGAGAATCGATTCCAGGGTGTCCACATACTTTTGGTACGCACTGTAGAGTTAGTAAATAGTCAAGTAAGAAAGATAGGAATCAACATAATAAGCAGTTAGTAACAAAAGCACGACCGCAATCACAAACGGGTGCAACAGAACATCACAGAAGCAGCACAACTTCGAAAGGAAGCTCATAATAGAAACGTGTAGATTAGTAACACAATCGCCATTTTTGAAAAGAACCCGTTACAATTGTAATCTGATCAACGAAACACAACGGAACAACAAAAGCACTACAACACTAGAGCGATTACCTTAGGCAAGGACTGCGGAAGCCGGAACCATCATGACCTGGAAAAAGCATGCGCAAAAACGACTGGTTGCTTCAAAACAGCTTCAAATTGTGTTCTGCACAACAAATAGAACACATAGAAGAAGCTGTGATGAAGAACAAGTCGACGAAAAAACAGAAAAGGGTCGATGCAAAATAAAAATAAAACTCACCAAAAGAGCAGCGGCTGCACTATGACCTGGGAAATGGGGGCGGAAAAACGACTGGTTGCTTCAAAACAGCTTCAAATAGTGTTCTGCACAACAGAACACATAGAAGAAGCTGCGATGAAGTATCAGACTAACGGAAAAAAAGTCAACGGAAAATAGAAAAAAAATCAAATAGAAAAAGCAAAAACCTGACAATGATTTTCATTTGATAGAAAACCCATGCAATATTCGTAGACTACCGCATTCTTTTTTGATGAAACTGACTCACCTCTTTATAAGGATGTCTGCCGTGGTCGAATAGTACCAGAAAATAGTAAAATACTGCTGCAATTCCCGTCAAATAGTGGAGCCAGCAGAATCAGCTGGGAATACAACGCGACGGCTTCAAGTGCGGCAACTTCTACGCCAAATCCGTAGCCTCGCCTAATCCAACTCCGAGTGTACATTTTTGGTGGGGCTCAGGAAGTGATAATGACTGATAAGAGCTGATAAGAGGCGTTAGAGCGCAAATTTCGCGAAATTGACGGCGCACAGTGATGTCTAGGGTGGGACGGGAAGTATATTTCGATGGGGTCGAAAAGTGATAACAACTGATAAGGGCTGATAAAAGGCGCTAGAACGCAAGTGTCGCGAAATTCATAGCACGCAGCAGTCGTCAGGAGCTGATTTTGGGATATGATATAGGGGGTGGGACGGGAACATATTTGGTGGGGGTCAGGAAAGTGACAACGAATGATAAGAGCTGATAAAAGTTAGAACGCAAATTTTTCGAAATTCATAGCGCGCGTCCCTGCAGCTGAGGCGTTCTCGTCCGACCCCCTATATAATACCCTGAAATCAAACTGCTGCGCACCAGCGGTCAGCAGTTTGATTTCAGGGTATTATATAGGGGGTCGGACGAGAACGTGTTCTATGGGGGACAAAATGTGACAAGAGCCGATAAGGGCTGATAATAGCGATTAATTCGAAAACGGGGAAGCAACTAAATTTGTAATCGAGATACGCGACAAGGGAAACACTCCATCCTATTCGCGATGTCGTCGTCAGCATCCTTACGACAACTGATTTTCCGAGCTCCTTAAAGGCACGAGTCGGGATTGAATTGATGCGTTATTTTATTCAAACATTAGGACAGGGGTGCAAAGAGGAACATTAGTGAGGAGAAAAACAAAAAGCACCATAGAAAACTGTTGCGTCCAGAGGTAGCAGGCATAAGACAGAAAATTTATTAGCGAATAAACTGAACATAATTACAATCGAGGGGTTTATATACCCCAATGAGATCATGGTTTAGGCGCGAAACCTAATCAAGATCTCAGCAGTACCAACTACCTATGACCCCTACAACACCTCCCCCCTAAGATGGACGCTCTAAGCGTACGTCTTTTCTCTTAGGGTCGACCATCAATCGCTCCGGCGCGCGTCGTGATCTGGCTTGGCGTTGTCCTGCAATTCCTTGGGTCGCAGAAAGTAGTCGTCGTTGTTGTGGGACTGTCCGTTGTTTTGACTTGTGGTCCGACCGCAGCAGTGGATTGCGTTGACCTTCTTCTGTCATATGGGCTGGCATTGACCTTGGCAGTAGCGGCAGCTCGGCGAGTTCTGACGTTGATTCTGGAAAACATGGATCATTGCTAACGCGTAAACGTAACTGATTAGCATGTCTCTTCCAGATCTGTCCATCGACTGATATGTCGTAGAGCCTGTTTCCGTGCCGCTGTAGTACTTGACCCGGCGTTTGCGGAACGATAGTCCTTAGTCCACACAAGGTCTCCAACGTTGAATTGTTTCTGTCTTGCTCCATGATGACGGTTATATTGCTCCTCCATTTTCTCATTCCGATTGTTGCAATTTGAAATGGCGGATGGCTTGAGAAGGCTTAGTTTTGTCCTGATCTGCCTTCCGAGAAACAGTTCTGTCGCGACTGTCCTCCAGGTACAGAAGGGCTGGGCAAGGAGTTCGACGGTAAGTTAACAGGAATTGTTGTAGAGCTTCTGCCAACGGTGAGCTTCCTTTAATCTTCTTGAAGTTTCTTTTGAAGGTGTCGACAAAGCGCTCTGCCTGGCCGTTAGACTGTGGGTGAAACGGTGGAGATTTGATGTGTCTGATACCGTTTCTGACGCAGAAGTCATTGAACTCCGTGGATGTGAACTGAGTTCCGTTGTCTGTTACCAGAACATGTGGATTTCCGAATTGGGCGAAAAGGCGTCGTAGCTCTCTTATTGTGCTGCTTGTCGTTATTGAGGACATCTTCGACAATTTCTGGCCACTTTGAGTAGGCATCGACAATAATGAGGTACATTTTTCCATCCATTGGCCCAGCGAAATCGGCATGTATGCGATTCCATGGCTTGTCCTCCATTGGCCATGAGTAGAGTGTGGCCTTGACTGGACTTTTCGCAGTTTCCTGGCAGCGACGGCATGTTTTACGAAGTTTTCGATGTCGTAGTTGATGTTCGTCCAGTAGACATAGTTCCTGGCGAGCATCTTCATACGAGTCATCCCTGGATGTCCGTCATGAAGTTCGGAAAGTACTGCGCTTCGTAAGGTATTCGGAATCACGATGCGATCTCCGATTAGTAAGCATCCGTTCTGCGTGGAGAGTGATTCCCTAAGAGAGTTGAATCTGTTGCCGGCATCTGATTTCTTTGGCCATTCTCCGCTTTGACAAATTTTAGAACATCCTTCAGAATAGGATCTTTGGAGGTTTCTTCTGATATCTTCTTTGCATCGACTGGCAGCTTTGACACAGCATTGACAAAGATCTCGGGAGCGTCCTTTCCGATCGTTGCAATGACTACATCCTCTTCTGTTCGCGATTGTTCCGCGATAAGGCGAGATAGGGCGTCCGCTTGTCCAAAACTGTTTGTGGGTTCGGTATTCGATAGTGAAGTCGTAGTTTTTCACTATTAGAGCCCAACGCTGAAGTCGGTTGGCCGTGTAGACTGGCACTCCTTTCTTGCTACCAGAGATGGCTTTGTGGTCGGTTAACAGCTTGAAATGACGTCCGTATATGTAACGGTGGAATTTCCGTAAGGCGAACGTTATGGCGAGAGCCTCCTTCTCGACTTGACCGTAATTCTTCTCGGCAGCTGTCAGTGAACGGCAGGCATGGTGAATTGCTTTTTCCGTTCCATCCGAAAAGCGGTGACTAATCACTGCTCCTATCCCATACTCCGATGCGTCGGCCGCGATGAC